TCTGCGCTCGCCTCCACTGTTTCAAAGAGCCGTGAAAGTGAAAGTGAAAGCTGCACGTCTGGAGCCGTAACGAGTCCAAACCTTCTAATTCTCACCTCCTCCATTTTCTTGTTGTACAGATCTTTTGCTGCTGCGACGGCGGCGAGATTATTGGCCTCGGCTGTGGCCTGGAACCACAAGAAACATCATGAACAAATCTCAAACCGTCTCAAATTTAAACATTTAAACATTTACAGTCATTGAATCTGAGCTTTTAATTGTTCCTGCGCCCGACCTGCAGCATGGACTTGGGGTGCGGCAGCTCTTCTCCCTGGTAGATCTTTATATAAGCCTGAAAAAAAACCACAGACATGAGTTAGAGTTTGAAAGTTCTGAGACTCTGTGGAGCTGAGATTTCCTGCGTTGGTGTGGGACCTTGAAGTACTCGAGTAGCCCCCTGCAGGTGATCTGACTCCCGTTGATCTCCTTCACGTCGATGTTCTCTGGACTCAGGAGCCACGGGACCAGCTCCTTCAGGTTGTTGATGAACTCCCCGTCGATCTCTGAAACACACAAACACACAAACACATTTAAAGCTTTAAAAAAAATTGAAAAATAGGATAAAGAAAAGATTTTTTCCTCCATTCATTCCACGTTCTGTCAACAGGTGGAGTTAATGTGACTGACTGATCCTCCTGCTCGTCTCCAGAGAAGCTCAGCTCAGCTCCACCTTCAGTTACCCACAAGCACCGTGTGTCTCCACACTCTCCACCCTCGTCCTGAGTCTGTGAAGCTCCACACGTGTCCACATCCTCAGTGTTTTTATTTTACACTGTTTTTCTCCGTTGTTGTTGTTGTTGTGTCTCCAGAAAATTCATGGTGTCCCCAAAAAATGTGACATAATTTTGGTAATTCTTGTTGAAATAACCTGATGTTTAGAAACAGATGAAGATTTGATTTGTGATGTTTTATTTTTTTCTGTTTTCAGGTTGAACCGTTGAAACTGAATCATTTTGCGTCTTGAATCTGCTGCTCACACTCACCACCGAGACCCAATCCTGTGGAAACGATCGGAAAAGAAACCGTGTGCAGCTCCTCCAGGCTTTAAAATCAGACGACAAGACACGAAAACGAAAGAAAAAATTCTGTGTCGACACGAGACAGAAACTTGAAGAAACGACAAACTGTCACTCGAGGAATCTGGGTTTCAGACTCTTGAGGCGTCACGAGAGTTTTTCATGAACTTGCTCTTGCTTCTCTTCTGATGTTGATGTTGGTCCAGATCTTTTAGTCCTGCAGAAGCAACCGAACTCTGCACAGTTTTGGTTCCAAGTCCAAATTTGTTTTTCCAGTTGAGGTTTTTCCAAACGTTGTGTTGAAGCTTCAGTCTTGGTGATGTGAGCAGCAGATTCAAGACACAAAAAAAAAAACATCACATAGAAAATCTTCATCTGTTTCTAAACATTTTGCGAAAATTTGAGGTGATTTCAACAAGAATTGACAAAATTATTGGTCTGAGAAATGATGTAAAATGTTCTGGGATCTTGTATAATGTGAGATTTTCAGTTTCAATCTAATCCAACTTTATTTGTGAAGCACATTTAATAAACAAAACAGTTTCCAAAGTTCTGCACAAAGCAGTGATTATGTTTCAACCATAAGGAAACTAATAGAATCAATAAATAAAGTTTGATTTAATGAAGGTTCAGACTCATCGTTTTAAAATCTGGACCTCAGATTTTTGGATTCAACTGGACGTGAGACGTTTTCTGTTCCTACAGCAGCTCCACGAGCTGTGACCTGCTCAGAGGCTCAGAAGGTCAGAAGGTTTTATAACGATGAACATTTAGAGTAAATAAAATAAAAGTGACGTGTTTGACTCAGACCTTTGATGCGTCCGTCGAAATGTGGGTTTGTGGCGACTTTGAGGCCGGGATGAGGCATCAGGAAACACGAGATGTTTGTGAAGCACGAGTGGATGTGTTTCCGCACGTTCTGAAGCTCCTCGTGCTGGTTCTCCGAGATCTCAGAGGAAAACACATAAAGATATATTATTATATTATTATTATTTACTTTATTATACTGACTTCTTCTTCTTCTTCTTCAGAGTCGGACATTCACCTTGAGCCTCTTCTCCAGAAACTTCATCCCTCCCTCTTGTCCGTACGAAAACTCATACGGAAAACTCCAGTCTCGCACCAAGAAGATCATGGACTGAAGAAAAACAGGAAAATGTTCACGACATTTGGACTGGAGCAGATTCTGTCACAGCACAAACTTTAATATTAACGTTATTTTACCTGGAACGGTTTGAGGAACGTCTCCTCCATGGCCAGACGCCCGTATTCTGTGAAGAGCTACAGACACATCGACTCACATTTACTCTACACAGAAACACTACATCCTGTCTGACACACACAGGTTTGTACTAGTGTCATATTATTATATATGATAATATGATATTATTATATATTATTATATTATATATATATATATATATATATATTATTATAATCTGGTATCGAGTATCGTTTACTTCAGTACATTTCTCCTGCTGTGGTGTTTTACCTGTAGATGCTGCAGGTCGTCCTCCTGGACGTTCTGTGAGATGTTGTAAACCTGAAACACAAAAGCAACGTTTAAACTTCTCCAGTGTTTAGATGAACACACACACACACACACTATACACACACACACACACACACACACACTATACACACACACACACACACACACACACACACACACACCTGCATGGAGCTGATCATGGTGCTCAGAGCGAAAACTGTGGCCGAGTCTCTGAGCGTCGACTGAGAATCAAACGTGCCCTGAGTGTCCATCAGCAACACGGCCACCTGACCCACACAAGAGATAAAACACACACTTTTATCCAACACTGACCCACACAAGAGATAAAACACACACTTTTATCCAACACTGACCCACACAAGAGATAAAACACACACTTTTATCCAACACTGACCCACACAGGAGATAAAACACACACTTTTATCCAACACTGACCCACACAAGAGATAAAACACACACATTTATCCAACACTGACCCACACAAGGAGATAAAACACACACTTTTATCCAACACTGACCCACACAAGAGATAAAACACACACATTTATCCAACACTGACCCACACAGGAGATAAAACACACACATTTATCCAACACTGACCCACACAAGAGATAAAACACACACATTTATCCAACACTGACCCACACAAGGAGATAAAACACACACATTTATCCAACACTGACCCACACAGGAGATAAAACACACACATTTATACACTGAACAGTAGATCTTGTATTATTGCCGTCGTCTATTGGAACAAATGAGGGAGTAAATCTGCCGTCTGGTCCAGGGAAACGCTGCTTTAAAACATCTCAGTCTCAAACTAAATTTTAGTAGCAGGAAAAATCTGATATTTGGGGAAAATGATCATATGTGCAGAAATATACAATCCTGACTTTTTGTTTGGTAAATTAACACTGAAGACTGGAAATGATATGAACATAACTTTATGTGTAAACCACTTTTCAGAACAATAAAAACATAAATCACAGTGGAACAGTTTTACAGCGGCAGAACAACAGCACTTTTTCATGTGTTGCTCAAAGTAACAATTTTTATCCTTTGTAAACAACAAAAGTACTTTGCACTTCAGGTCGTTTGTGTGGAGTCGTCTGTATCGTCCACGTTTATCTGCGTGGATGGAAAAAGGCTCCTGAGTAAAAAAAGCTCATAAAATCTGGATGTGGAGGAAGGAGGAAATTGGCTTTTAACTGTTGTAAATCTGCAACGTCTGAATGGAGAAAGTGAAACAAATGAACATCAGCCTGAGACGAGGAGAAATGTTCCCACAGACCGAGAAACACTGTGGCTCAAGTCAAACATTAGTCCTGGTTTAGTCCTGGTTTAGTCCTGGTTCAGTCCTGGTTCAGTCCTGGTTCAGTCCTGGTTCAGTCCTGGTTTAGTCCTGGTTCAGTCCTGGTTTAGTCCTGGTTTCAGTCCTGGTTTCAGTCCTGGTTTAGTCCTGGTTTAGTCCTGGTTTAGTCCTGGTTTAGTCCTGGTTTAGTCCTGGTTCATGTTCGTGTTCGGTGTAAAAGTCTCTGGGATCTTCACTCACTGATGTCAGGTGACCAGATTTTCAGAATTAAAAGCCGTGACTCACTCGGTTTGTGGAGGTTTTTAATAATAAAATAGTGAATCAGGTGGAAAACTGTTCTGCACTCGTCGATTCACGACAAACATGAGTCAGTTTAGTCATATTTTCTTTGTGTTTTGGTCGTTTTTAGCAGCTTTTCTGTATTTTACCCAAAGAAATGTCATGTATGTCTCTCTTTACTGTTGGCAGGTATAAAATTGGTCAAAAATAGAGACATTTCTTGTATAAAACTGGACAAATCAGTGGTTTTGTGTAAATCTGCTGGGACAGGGGACAGACTCAAAACTGGGACTGTCCCGGGGAAACCGCGGTCGCCTTATGACACTGTGAAAAACTTTACCTTAGACCATGGAACCTCTGAACCAAGACGGCAGCAGCATTAAAGCATCAAGAGTCTGAACACGAGATCTACTGTTCTATATCTACGACCTTTACCAACCCTGACCACCAGAGGGAGACACACACACACACACACACACACACACACACACACACGTCAGAGTCCAAACTCCAGGTTAGTAAATAAAAACACAGGTAGAGTTTGAGTCGTTACCTTCCTGCCGTCGGGTTTGTCGACTAAAAACACTTCGCTCCAGATCTGGATCCCTGTGGTCTCGCGCTCGGATCCTCCCCTCCACGAAAACCCCGTCAGAGGTTCATCTGAGTCGCCCAGCCAGTCCTCACGAGCCTGGACACACACACACACACACACACACACACACACACAGGGGATATTTAAGCTGCACTGTGGAACTTTTCTGATGGTCTGTTTCTAAAACGTCTTTAAAATGTCTCCATCGTCTGGACTGAACTCATCTGTGGTGAAGATCAGCCCTGGACAAAATGTATGTATTTTAGGGTCGGTACATTAATGCGTTCATTTTTTGTTAACTAATTAATTCATTATTGCCGACAATTATTTTAACACCATTAACGCAGTTTTTATTCTTTATTTACTGTTTTATTGTAACGTCTGTTGCTCACTGGGTTTTATTTTGAAAAAGTTCACCGTGAGTGTTTCTTTTCTTTACACTTTTTCACTTTTTCTTGTATTTTTTTCTTTTCACGTGAGATGCAACATGTCCGAGCCTCCGTGGGCTCTGAGCTCCAGGTCACGGGTCTTTCTTTTTCTTCTCCTTCCTCCAGACGCCTGAGGCGTCCCAGTCGAGTCCAGTGTGGTTTTATTATTATATTTACTATTTCAGGATATTCACAAAGGTCTGGAAGATGTGGTGATTTGATTCCACCCGTAACTCAATGAAACCTGATTGGCTAAACTGTCAAACTGTTGTGGTGAAGAGGAGCTGAGTCTCCGTTCCTCCCCTCACCTCTGGTCATGACCCGAAGGACCAGATCCACGATACAAGAGACACAGATGAGTTTCCTCCGCAGGGCGTCCGGGCGTCTCCCTTAGACACAGAGGTCGGAGCTCGGAGTAGAGCCGCTGCTCCTCCACGTGGAGAGGAGCGTCTGAGGGGAGGACGTCTGTTCTGACGTCTCCTGGACGTGTCCCTCAGGAGGTGTTCATGTCCCACCAGGAGGAGGAGGAGACCCAGGACACACTGGAGGGACCATGTCTCTGGACTGGACTGGGAACACCTCAGGTCCCACTGGAGGAGCTGGAGGAAGTGTCTGGGGTGAAGGAAGTCTGGGAGTCTCTGTTCAGACTGATGCTCCGAGACTCGACCCCAGAGAAGAAGAAGAACATGGAGGATGGATAAACTGTCAAACTCAGACTCATCCCCACATTGACTTGAGTTGCTCAGGTCTTTGTTCCTACAGGTGTTTGTTCAGTTCAGCGCTGCAGGAGGAGTCACTGATTTACCCGGAAACAACTGGAAGAAAAACTGTGATTGGTCCATTTCTATTTCATTAAATTAACCCTTTATTTCCCAAGAAATATGATCATAATGACTCACGTGGTGGAACATGTAGAAACTATAATAATAATAATAATAATAATAATAATAATGATAATAATAATAATATAATAATGATAATAATAATAATAATAATAATAATAATAATAATAATAATAATAATAATAATGATAATAATAATAATAATAATAATAATAATGATAATAATAATAATAATAATAATAATAAATAATGAAATAATAATAATAATAATAATAATAATAATAATAATGATAATAATAATAATAATAATGATAATAATAATAATAATAATAATAATAATAATGATAATAATCACAGTTCTTACGTGGTGGTAATGTAGAAACTATAATAAAATAATAATAATAATAATAATAATGATAATAATAATAATAATAATAATAATAATAATAATAATAATAATAATAATAATAATAATAATATAATATAATAATAATAATAATAATAATAATGATAATAATCACAGTTCTTACGTGGTGGTACATGTAGAAACTATAATAATAATAATAATAATAATAATAATAATAATAATAATAATAATAATAATAATAATAATGATAATAAAATAATAATAATAATAATAATAATAATGATAATAATAATAATAATGATAATAATCACAGTTCTTACGTGTGTACATGTAGAAATAATAATAATAATAATAATAATAATAATAATAATAATAATAATAATAATAATAATGATAATAATAATAATAATAATAATAATGATAATAATAATAATAATAATAATAATAATAATGAATAATAATAATAATATAATAATAATAATAATAATAATAATAATAATAATGATAATAATAATAATAATAATAATGAATAATAATAATAATATAATAATAATAATAATAATAATAATAATAATATAATAATACAGTTCTTACGTGGTGGTAATGAAACTAATAATAATAATAATAATAATAATAATAATAATAATAATAATAATAATAATGATAATAATGATAATAATAATAATAATAATAATAATAATAATAATAATAATAATAATGATAATAATAATAATAATATAATAATAATAATAATAATAATAATAATAATGATAATAATAATAATAATAATAATATAATAATAATAATAATAATAATAATAAGTTCTTAATGGTGGATAATGTAGAAAATATAATAATAATAATAATAATAATAATAATAATAATGATAATAATCACAGTTCTTACGTGGTGGTAATGTATAATAATAATAATAATAATAATAATAATAATAATAATAATAATAATAATAATAATAATAATAATAATAATAATAATAATAATAATAATAATAATAATAATAATAATATAATGATAATAATAATAATAATGATAATAATAATAATAATAATAATAATAATAATAATAATAATAATGATAATAATAATAATAATAATAATAATAATAATAATAATATGATAATAATAATAATAATAATAATAATAATAATAATAATACGTGGTGATAATGTAATAATATAATAATAATAATAATAAATAATAATAATAATAATAATAATAATAATAATAATAATAATAATAATAATAATAATAATAATAATAATAATAATAATAATAATAATAATAATAATAATAATAATGATAATAATAATAATAATAATAATAATAATAATAATAATAATAATAATAATAATAATGATAATAATGATAATAATAATAATAATAATAATAATAATAATAATCACAGTTCTTACGTGGTGGTACATGTAGCGGAGCATGAAGTCCATGAGGAAGGACTTGCCCTTCCTGAAGGCCCCGGCGACGGACACGGCCACCACCTCCAGGTCTCGCACTTTACTGTTGAGGAGGATCCGGGTCAGGGCGCTTTCGTCCAGCTCGAACGTGTGGTCGTCCTTCACCAGCAGCACCTGGACGGGCCGCGCCTTAGACTCCGCCTCCTCGTCCTCCGAGCTCCAGTCGTACGTCTGCTTCTCGTTCAGGGCCCCTGCACCACAGAGAACAACAGGACAAATGTAAAACTGCACACGGAGAAACATCACCTCATGGATGAAATCAACTCTGCTCATTTTTACACTGAAATAACATCATTCTGTCACAAATACAACTTATTTAACAACAATTTGTTCTAAATGTTCTTATTTTACTCCTGTAGTGGAAGTGTTTAAAGAGTCAGTTTTACTGTAGAATCACCGACACGTTTCAAAGTTTGACAGTCGCTGCTCACAAACCCACAAAGACCAAAGTGACACCAAAGTTCTTCTAGATCAGTTTAATCATTAGTGATGTAATAATAACTAAATATCGTGATATCGTATCGTCAAAGTTCTCACAATAATATCGTGGATCATCACAATAAATCGAATCACAAGTTTCTTTGTTTAAATCAGGAGAGTCCGAACTTTCTTCATCAAGGCCCACGTCTGTAAACACAGATGAAGCAGAGGGACGATGGACGATGGACGATGGACGATGGGTCACAGACCGACGCTCAGTCCAGAGAATCATTCAAACATGAGCAGGTTTAACAGGTTCAAATGAAACATCAGTCTTTATTTATGCGAAGATCCTCAAGCTCCAGGATCATGGGGGGGGGGCCCCTCACACCCTCCACCCCCCGTGTCTCCCTCTGCCTCTGGGACGAGACTGAGGAACATTAAAGTCAGAACATCTGGGCTGAAGCTCACTGACGTCCTGCTCGCGCTGCATCTTTATCTTCAGTTTATTGGAGCTGCTAAATGTTGTTGTTTTGATGTATTGACTTTTTAACATTGCTTGTTTATTCTTGTTTTTCTCGTTCTGGTCACTGAGAACATTTCCTTCTGTCATGTGTTTGTCTCACGTCTGAATGACAAATAAAAAACCTTAAAACCAAACTCTAAATATTCAATATTCACTTTATCAAGGGAGATTCTCAAAAAACCTGCAGTAAAAAGTTAATTTTTAATTGATGTAAGTTAATCTGGGCCAATTCTCCTGGACGTCTGAGGGCCAAGAAAAATGTGTCCGAGGGCCACATTTGGCCCACGGGCCGTAGTTTGGACACGCCTGGTTTAAATTCATAGTTCTGATGCAGCAGCAGCTAAAAAAACACAGAGGAACTACATTTCCCATGATCCTTTGCTCCATTTCAGTGCAGACGACAAGAAGAAAAAACACTTCTGACACTTTTAACTCAGTTTTGTCGAAACATTTGAAGAAAAAAAAGTCAAATATTCACAGTTTTGTTTTTACCTCCACAAAATATCACAATAAATATCGTATCGTGAGATTTATATCGTGAAAATATCGTACTGAGAGATTTGGATTTTGTTACATCTTTAATCGTGAGACTCTAAACCATATCGTGATCTTTCCCCCAACATCATAACAAATCTCTTTGTGTGAGGTTCAGATTTATTATTATTTACACATTTATTTACATTGATTCTACAGCAGTAAATATTTACTGAAACAATGCAATTATTATAACAATATTTTATATATTTGACTTATTTTATTTACATAAATATGACTTTTAACTTTTAAAAAAAGTGAGTAACATTTAGTCAGTAATTGTGGAGGTGAAAATATTTGACTTCAAACTGACGAGTGACGAAGAAACATTTACTTCAAAAGTGAAAATTGTTACAAGGATTTTTCTAGTAAATCTTACAAGTTTTTTTTTTTAATGATTAAAAACATCAGTTGACTCTGATTATTTTCATTGATTTAATTGAACCAAATGAATCTTTTCACTTTGATGATCCTGTGCAGGTTTTGATGGAGAAACACAAACAGGGAGAAGATGAACCAAACCTGAAGCTTCTACGAGTCCAACAGGTTTAAAACAGAGACACAAACACACAGCTGCAAAGTGATTGGTTCTTTTTTAGTTGGTCTAAAATTCTTGTTGGTGATTGGACGAACACGTGGTTCAGTTCGATATATTTATATATTTATATTTCAAATCGATCAATACTGTTCACTATAAAATACAATCGAAATCATGTGTGTGATTCTAAAAGTTTTTGTTAAATCATTTCTTCTTGTACAAAGTTCATCTGAAAAACTTTAAATATTTTAATCCTCAAAACAGTGAAAATGTCAAATGTGTCGCAGAAACGAGTTTATTTCGTCTGAACAAAAAACAAAACTGAAACTGGAACAAAATCATTGAATAAAATAAACCAAAAACTATCGTCTTGGTGAAATATCGAAACAGCAGAACACGAGCAGTGTCAGAGTAACAGATTACATGGACCAGAGTAATCAGAGTACAAATGATGAGTAACTGTATTCAGTTACAGTTACTGTTTCAGTGAGTGGGAATTGGATTACAGTTACTTTGTTCAAATAAATGGATTAAACAGACTAAACCAGGAACTAAACCAGGACTAAACCAGGGACTAAACCAGGACTCTAAACCAGGACTAAACCAGGACTAAAACTAAACCAGGACTAAACAGGCAGGTCTAAACCAGGAAACCAGGACTAAACCAGGACTAAACCAGGTCTAAAGACTAAACCAGGACCAGGTCTAAACCAGGTCTAAACCAGGACTAAACCAGGACTAAACCAGGACTAAATCCTGCTGTGTGGACGTGTGTTTCTTCGTCTTTATCAATAATATTTTTAATTTGGTTCAGTAAAGTTTGGACTTTTTATTTTCTTTTATCAGACAAAACTTCTTATGTGAAGATTTCCTCGTCTTTGTTTCTCTACAACAAATCAAGTAATCCAAAGTAATCAGATTACATTACTCACTTTAAGTCATTTAATGGATTCTGTTACAAACTACATTTTGGTGAGTGTAATCTGTAATCTGTAATCTGTAGGGGATTACATTTGAAAAGTAAACTTCACAACACTATCCACGATATTAATTCTGTATCATCACATTAAACCAAACGATTTATCGATATTTATATATTTTTGCACAGACTAATGAGACTCACAGCAGCTCAGATGACTCTCAGATGATCTCAGATGATCTCAGAGGAATCAGAAGTATTGAATCAGAAGTATTGAATCAGAAGTATTGATGTGAACAGGAAGTGGCGCTGCTCTCGTCTTTCCCTTTCACATTAAAGCTTCTTTAAACAGATTAAAGTCAGAGACTGTGGACTGAGGAGCCAGAGTGGAGCAGCAGTGAGAGCGAGCAGCAGTGAGCACAGTGAGGAGCAGCAGTGAGGAGCAGCAGTGAGGAGCAGCAGTGAGGAGCAGCAGTGAGGAGCAGCAGTGAGGAGCAGCAGTGACGAGCAGCAGTGAGGAGCAGCAGTGAGGAGCAGCAGTGCTCCTCAGATTTACTGCAGATGATGGAGACTCAGATACTTGACAGATTCGTTCTTTTATTTCATCTGTTTTATTTGTAGAGTTTCAGTTTCCTTCAGGTTTCTGGGGCGCGGCAGCAGCAGCTTTGTGTTTGTGTCTCATGTTTCCTGCTCGTCACTAATCGAGTTTCATCAAACCTCTGAGGAAAACCAAGAATCAAATCTGTCAAATCTTCTGCACCGACCACGAAGAAACACGACGTTCCTCTGGTCTGGAGCCTAAAAAACCTCAGACAAAACAGAACCTGAACGAGTCTAGAACAAAGTGGAACTGGACCAGAACAAGAACAAGAGACACAGACTCATGGACCTGGTTTAGTCCTGGTTTAGACCTGGTTTAGTCCTGGTTTAGTCCTGGTTTAGTCCTGGTTTAAGTCCTGGTTTAGACCTGGTTTAGTCCTGGTTTAGACCTGGTTTTAGTCCTGGTTTAGTCCTGGTTTAGACCTGGTTTAGTCCTGGTTTAGTCCTGGTTTAGTCCTGGTTTAGACCTGGTTTAGTCCTGGTTTAGACCTGGTTTAGTCCTGGTTTAGACCTGGTTTAGACCTGGTTTAGTCCTGGTTTAGTCCTGGTTTAGACCTGGTTTAGTCCTGGTTTTAGTCCTGGTTTAGTCCTGGTTTAGACCTGGTTTAGTCCTGGTTTAGTCCTGGTTTAGACCTGGTTTAGTCCTGGTTTAGTCCTGGTTTAGTCCTGGTTTAGTCCTGGTTTAGACCTGGTTTAGACCTGGTTTAGTCCTGGTTTAGACCTGGTTTATTCCTGGTTTAGTCCTGGTTTAGTCCTGGTTTAGTCCTGGTTTAGACCTGGTTTAGTCCTGGTTTAGTCCTGGTTTAGACCTGGTTTAGACCTGGACCACTGAGGGATTACACAGATATAAGAACACATGACACCAGGGACTAAACCAGGACTAAACCAGGACTAAATCAGGACTAAACCAGGTCAGATAAACTAGGTCCAAACTAGGATTAAATCAGGTGAAAATCAGGACTAAAACAGGCCCAAACCAGGTCTAAACTAAAACTAAACCAGGTCTAAACTAGGATTAAATCAGGTCAAAATGAGAACCAAACAAGGTCTAAATCAGATCCAAACCAGGACTAAATCAGGACTAAACCAGGACTAAAACAGGTTCAAACTAGCATTAGATCAGGTCAAAACTAGAACCAAAGCAGGTCTAATCCAGGTCTAAACCAGGACTAAACCAGGTCTAAATCAGGTCTAAACCATGACTAAATCAAATCCAAACCAGGACTAAACCAGGACTAAACCAGATCAGGTAAACCAGGTCCAAACTAGGATTAAATCAGGTCAAAATCAGGACTAAACTATGTGAACAGAAAAAGAAGTTCTACCAATTCATGTGTAAAATCACAGGAGTCGTTTTCTTCTCATCGTGGAATCGATATCGAGTATCGAGTATCAAGTATCAAGTATCGAGTATCGAGTATCAGGTCTGTCCTTTAGTCTCATAATCCAGTTTAAAACGTTCTTACAGTGAGAAGACGACTTCACCTGAGCCTCTTTAACACGTTTAACACGTTTAACATCACGACCCTGGAGCCTCTGAACACGACCTGAGCGACCTGAAGTGATGAAGACGAGTTCATCTGAGGTTTCAGCTTCTGCCTCTGAGCCTCACAGACACTTCAGACTCTGTCCAGACTCTGTCCAGACCAACTCCAGCTCACGACACCATCACCTCCTCCTCCTCAAACACCACGAAACACCAGGAAACCTCCACAAAACCTCCACAAAACCCCCCAAAGACCCAGAAAAACACTGAGAAGAACCTTGAAGCACCACAAAACATCATGAAAACACCACGAAGCACCAGGAAAACCCCCCAGTCCTGAGGCAGCACACGCCCGAAACACTGAACCAAACATCTGAGGAGGAACATGAGGAGCATGAGGAGGATGAGGAGCATGAGGAGCATGAGGAACATGAGGAGGATGAGGAGGATGAGGAGCATGAGGACATGAGGAGGATGAGGAGGATGAGGAGGATGAGGAGCATGAGGAGCATGAGGAGGATGAGGAGGATGAGGAGGACATGAGGAGGATGAGGAGCATGAGGAGGATGAGGAGGATGAGGAGGCATGAGGAGGCATGAGGAGGATGAGGAGGATGAGGAGATGAGGCATGAGGAGGATGAGGAGGCATGAGGAGGATGAGGAGGATGAGGAACATGAGGAGGATGAGGAGGATGAGGAGGATGAGGAGGATGAGGAGGAGGAGCATGAGGAACATGAGGAGGATGAGGAGGATGAGGAGATGAGGATGAGGAGGATGAGGAGCATGAGGAGGATGAGGAGGATGAGGAGGCATGAGGAGCATGAGGAGCATGAGGAGGATGAGGAACATGAGGAGGAGCATGAGGAGCATGAGGAGGATGAGGAGGATGAGGAGGATGAGGAGCATGAGGAGGAACATGAGGAACATGAGGAACATGAGGAGGATGAGGAGGATGAGGAGCATGAGGAGCATGAGGAGCATGAGGAGGATGAGGAGGATGAGGAGGAGCATGAGAAGCTGTTTACTGATGCATTATTATATAATCGCTTCCAGACGCTCCTTTAACAAAGACACTCGGGCTGTTTACGTTTTAACTCTGCGCTTTTCTTCGTCTATGTCTATGTTTATTTACACTAAAAGGACATTTTTGGTGTCGGAAAAATCCATGTTTACAGAAGCAAAACCCGTGAATCGAGGCCGGAGTCTGAGTTCGGGACGTGAGCGGCACAAACGCGGTGTTTGTGTGAAACTGACGCGATGTGAAAAGCACGAAACGCGATGTTTAAAGCGGTTAAAATGAGAAAATGTGCGCAGTTCGTGTGAAGAGTGGAGTGCGGAGCGTGACGTGCGCAGCCCCGGTGGACGTGCGGGATTCGTGGGTTTCGTGTGTTTTTGTGTGTTTTTGTGTGTTTTGTGTGTTTTGTGGGTACGTACACTCGCCCCAGCTGTCGCGGTCTTTGCTCTGCTTCACCATGGCGCGTCCTCGGTGCGGGTTCGGGTTCGGGTTCGGGTTCGGGAGCGTCGGGTTCAGGCCGCTGCAGACATGGGTGTAGCTCCGGGAGGATGATGCTGCTGCTGCTGCTGCGGCCCTGGCGTCACGGAGGCTGAGGGGAAATGATGGAGCCTTTTCTTCCCGAACGCAGCTGCAGTGGCGCGTTTCGACCGACAGGGGGAGACACAGCGAGGGCGTTTTAGGCTGGTTTTATTTTTTATTTTTATTTTTTTTATTGGACACTTCAGGATTTTGCACCTTCAGAAATGTTTTACTTTAAATTGACGTTAATAGTTTTTGTAATTATTTGGAAAAAATAGAATTTGTGGCACATTTCGACTCAAGCTGCAGGGATTGTTTCTGCCGCTAGAGGGAGACAAAGTGCACAACACACAAATATATTAGTGTGGTCCAAAAAATTGTGATTTTTTTTTTTTAGATTCTCTAAATTAGAACTCTGTATTTGAAAAATGCAGGATAATATTTTACTCGTCAAGTTGAATTGACTCAAATCAAGTCAAATGTTTTTAATTTAAGTCTTTTAAATTTATCTAGATATTGGTTGTTTTTTTTCTAATTTTTTGCAAATATAATGTTAAAAGATAAAAAAAATCAATGTATGCACGTGATGTTAATGAGAATTCCAATCAAATAGTTCAATAAAAGTTTCATTAGAACCATTTTAGGATTAATTTGAAGTGATTTAAGACATTAGTGACTAAAGTAAAGAATTAAATGTTGCACAAGCAGCTCGACACAACTTCAGCTTCCATTTGAAGTTATTTTTAACCACAACAAACTCATTTAATCTGTTTTTATTTAAACTTATGCAACATTTATCTCGTATAATTCAGTGTTTTAACTCTTTACTTTAGTCACTAATGTCTTAAATCACGTCAAATTAACCCTAAAGTGGTTTTAATGAAACTTTTATTGAACTATTTGATTGGAATTCTCATTAACATTGATTTTGAAAAAACTTTTAACATTATATTTGCAACTTTAGACTTAATTTTGTCCATATTAAAACCTTCTTGAACATATTTACCACTAAAATAATCACAGATAAATATTGGTGTGTTTCAAAAAATGTATTTTTAGATTCTCTAGATTAGAACTCTGCATTTGCACTGGAAAAAAAACAATATTTAGATAAATTAAAAAGACTTAAATTAAAAACGTTTTGCTTGATTTGAGTCAATTCAACTTGATGAGTGAAATGATCCACCAGTGGAACATGTGTGTTTTTCTTAATTCAAGCAATGTTAGAATTTATTTCTTATTTGAAGTAGAAAAAGTTTTGTTCCAGGGCAGATCATTTTACTCATAAAGTGAAATTCACTCAAATCATGATCAAACTTTCTTAATTCAAGTCGTCTGAACTTGACCAGATTTAGTTTTTTACAGTTTGGTTTAATCTCTGACCAAAATATTTGGGTCCAAATTTTATGCAAATAATATAATAATATAATATTAATATTTAGAGTTTGTTTAAGACGTTTGAAAATGTCCCTGTGACCTAAACTAGAACATAGAATCAAAGAAATAAAGATAAAGACGACGTCCAATAATGTGTCGTTTTCTTCTGCAAACACAAACTGAAACTTGTATAAAAGTTTCTTCTAAAGTCCAACTCCTCTGTGTTTGTCTGTGTGTGTTATGTGTGTGTGTGTGTGTGTGTGTTTAATGTGTGTGTGTGTGTGTATGTGCATGTGTGTGTGTGTGTGTGTGTGTGTGTGTGTTGTGTGTGTGTGTTTAATGTGTGTGTGTGTTATGTGTGTGTGTGTGTGTTGTGTGTGTTTCATGTGTGTGTGTGTGTTATGTGCATGTGTGTGTGTGTTATGTGTGTGTGTGCATGTGTGTGTGTGTTATGTGTGTGTGTGTGTTTCTGATCTTCAGTCTTTGTTTTTCAGTTCAAATCTTGAATCAGAAACATCACAGACACTTTCAGTTCGTGTTTTTGCAGATCGAGAGAAGTTTGTGACACAGAAAAACACCTGAACACTTTAGATTTGTAGAAACTTTCATTTTTAAACCAAATAATGCACCAAAGTTTAAAAAAACCTTAAACGTACCTGTCCGCAGTACCAGGTTCAGCCGCCAGATGGAGACATTCACCCGCAAATTGAACGGAAATGAAGCGAACGTGTCAAAACAATCACAAAAACTAGAATTTATTATTTAAAATCAATATATTTACAAATAACACCATGACCGTGTGTGTAAAAATAGATTTATATGTACTTTATTGTAAAAATAATAACATAGTTTTATATAATTCACGGCGCACGCGCTCACTTTAAAACGCACACGTGAATATTTTAAATAAGAAAACAACAGAAACACGTTTTTAAATCAGTTTTAAGAGAAATAAAATAAATTAAACCAAATTAAAGTCCCGTAAAAACACACAGATCACAGATAAACAACAGGAGATGTCGCGTTCAGACTCTTGACGTGCGTTAATCCCGACGCCATTTTGGTGCTGGAGTCTACGGAGAAACCAGGACTGAACCAGGTCTAAACCAGGTCTAAACCAGGTCTAAACCAGGACTAAACCAGAACTAAACCAGGACTAAACCAGGTCTAAAACAGGACTAAACAGGACTAAACCAGGACTAAACCAGGACTGAACCAGGTCTAAACCAGGACTAAAACAGGACTAAACCAGAACTAAACCAGGTCTAAACCAGGACTAAACTAGGTCTAAACCAGAACTAAACCAGGACTAAACCAGGTCTAAAACAGGACTAAACCAGGTCTAAACCAGGACTAAAACAGGACTAAACCAGAACTAAACCAGGACTAAACCAGAACAAACCCAGGACTAAACCAGGTCTAAAACAGGACTTAATCAGGACTGAACCAGGTCTAAACCAGAACTAAACCAGGACTAAAACGGGTCTAAAACAGGACTAAACCAGGACTAAACCAGAACTAAACCAGGACTAAACCAGGACTAAAACAGGTCTAAACCAGAACTAAACCAGGACTAAAACAGGTCTAAAACAGGACCAAACCAGGACTAAACCAGAACTAAACCAGGACTAAACCAGGACTAAAACAGGTCTAAAACAGGACTAAACCAGGACTAAACCAGGACTAAACCAGGACTAAACCAGGTCTAAAACAGGACTAAACAGGACTAAACAGGACTAAACCAGGTCTAATCTTGCCCTTCATTCATTTAAATCAGCGTTCCGCCAGTACCAAGATGGCGGCCGCGTTGACGCATCAGCAGCCCGCGGTCGTCGGTGCGACATCTACAGTTGTGCGTCCGCGCGAAGATTAGCGGAGCTCCGTGTCTTTTTTTTTTTCGAGTTGGTTTTCAGTCCCGTCGCTCCTGAGCCCGAGTCACCGCTTTTATTCTTCTTATTCTTCACTTTTTCCACCTCTGAAAATGTCCCGAAGCTTCGTGTAAAACCTCCGCTCCCTGCGATGTGTCGTCAAAGCCACAACTGGACCGAACCGCACCGAAAACCCTCCGACTTTTTCACATCGGAGGAGTAAAGTTCTGACCGCAGCTCCTGGGATTTCCTCGACTTACAACGCGGGGTTTTCGCTGTTTTTCGTGGATTTAATTCGACTTTTTCTCCACGAACGTATCGGACATGCACCCCGCGGTGATTTCCAACCTTAAAGTCGCAAAAGGTGAGAAAAAAAAGAAGTTAAAATGGAAGCTGAAGTGGTGCGGAGCTACTTAGCATTAGCCGCCTGACGCTGAGCCAGAAGTGCAACAACCAGCGAGACTTTTAATGACAAAAACCCACAACAAACTCATTTAATCTGACTTTATTTACACTTAACTCGTGTTTTAACTCTTTACTTTAGTCACTAATGTATTAAATCACTTCAAATTAACCCTAAAGTGGTTTTAATGAGACTTTTATTGAACTATTTGATTGGAATTCTCATTAAAATCACCTGCATTTTTTATCTGTAACATTATATTTGCAACTTTAAACTTAATTTTGTCTATTTTAACACCTGCTTAAACAGATTTACTACTTATATAATCACATTTTCGCACACAAATGATACTTTTATAACTACTAAATGTGTAAAAACGTGCAGGTTTTGAGTAGAATTAAGCTGCTTTTCTGCTTTTAATGACACAAAATCACAACAACTCATTTAATCTTTATTTACTCTTAACTTGTTACTTTAGTCTCTATTGTCTTAAATCACTTCAAATTAACCCTGAAATGGTTTTAATGAGACTTTTATTGAACTATTTGATTGGAATTCTCATTAAAATCACCTGCATTTTTTATCTGTAACATTATATTTGCAACTTTAAACTTAATTTTGTCTATTTTAACACCTGCTTAAACAGATTTACTACTTATATAATCACATTTTCGCACACAAATGATGCTTTTATAACTACTAAACTTATAAAAACGTGCAGAATTAAGCTGCTTTTCTGCTTTTAATGACAAAAAACCACAACAATCTCATTTAATCTGTCTTTATTTACACTTGTGCAACATTTAACTCTTTACTTTAGTCACTAATGTCTTAAATCACTTCAAATTAACCCTAAAATGGTTCTAATGAAACTTTTATTTAACTATTTGATTGGAATTCTCATTAACATTGATTTTTGAAAAAACTTTTAACATTATATTTGCAACTTTAAACTTAATTTTGTCTATTTTAACACCTGCTTAAACAGATTTATCACCTATATAATCACAGATGGATCATTTTCGCACATAAATTGATGCTTTTATAACTACTAAACGCTTAAAAATGTGCAGAATTAAGCTGCTTTTCTGCTTTTAATGACACAAAATCACAACAAACTCATTTAATCTGTCTTTATTTACACTTAACTTGTGTTTTAACTCTTTACTTTAGTCTCTAATGTCTTAAATCACTTCAAGTTAACCCTAAAATGGTTTTATTGAGACTTTTATTTAACAATTTGATTGGAATTCTCAATAAAATCACCTGCATTTTTTATCTTTAACATTATATTTGCAACTTTAAACTTATTTTGTACATTTTAACACCTGCTTAAACAGATTTACTACTTATATAATCACAGATGGATCATTCTCACACACAAATGATGCTTTTATAACTTCTAAATGCTTAAAAACGTGCAGATTTTGAGTAGAATTAAGCTGCTTTTCTGCTTTTCTGATGGTGTTCTTGCAGATTCGGTTTGTTCACAGCGACTGCCACATTCCTGTTTGACAGACGTCGTGATACGCTGCAAAAAAAAAAAAAAAAAAATGTAAATAGTTTTGATTCGGGGGCCCCTCAGGTTGTATTTACGCGAAGCCGTGACGCACAGAAGTGGAGGAAGCCCAGATAGATGTGTCCTGGTGTCCTGTTTATTTACACTCAGTGATGTATGAAGGTGCACTTGATGTTCCGACGCTTAAATTCTCCTCGTTTTCGCAGGATATGAAGCCGGAGGGAGGACGGTCTGAGTGACTTTGTGTCTGCGCTCAGGATCGAACCGTTTCCGTGGGAGATTTAACTCGATGTAAAGGATTTTTTTCGGGGGGGGAAACACGATGGATATATTTCCTCGTCCGAGCAGCGAGATCCAGAGGAGGAACCCGCAGCACGACTTCGAGCTGATCCAGAGAGTCGGCAGCGGCACCTACGGAGACGTCTACAAGGTACACGAGCCTCTCACACACACGAGAGATTAGGCCCGGACGCTCTGAGACAAACACGCGCTCTTACCTAACCCGCTTTTGTGTTGAAGTTATGATGTGATCGATGGTTTAATGTGTGTTTTGGCTCAGGAAAATCAGTTAAAGTGATAGTGCGGAACTTTCTGGAGGTGGCACGACAACTACACGAATCCAGAAAGTTAAAAACACACTTAGGATTAGGATTTACTCTAAACTGTAGAATGTTATAGCCCAAGGAACAACATTTTTATGGAAATAAGCAGGAGGAGGAGGAACTTCTCGAGGATCAGGTTTGTGGAGAGGCGAGCCGCTCACAGCGACGAGGTACAACAACAAACCACAACAAACACAACAAACCACAACAAACACAACACAAGTCTAATGTCAGGACTAATTAAGATATTCATGAACTCGGTCTGCCTTTTCGGTCTGTTTTTCTTTCAAAAAAACTACATTTCTGTTTTATTTATTTCTTGTGATATTAATATTTTTTGATATATTGTGCAGCTTTACTAGAGATCACATGACTGTTCACTCTGACGCTCTGTTCACTCTGACGCTCTGTTCACTCTGACGCTCCGTTCACTCTGACGCTCCGTTCACTCTGTTCACTCTGACGCTCCGTTCACTCTGATGCACCGTTCACTCTGTTCACTCTGATGCTCCGTTCACTCTGACGCTCCGTTCACTCTGATGCACCGTTCACTCTGTTCACTCTGATGCACCGTTCACTCTGTTCACTCTGATCGCTCTGTTCACTCTGACGCTCTGTTCACTCTGACGCTCTGTTCACTCTGACGCTCCGTTCACTCTCCGTTCCGTTCACTCTGACGCTCCGTTCACTCTGTTCACTCTGACGCTCCGTTCACTCTGACGCTCCGTTCACTCTGACGCTCTGTTCACTCCGTTCACTCTGACACTCCGTTCACTCCGTTCACTCTGACGCTCTGTTCACTCTGTTCACTCTGACGCTCCGTTCACTCCGTTCACTCTGACGCTCCGTTCACTCTGTTCACCGTTCACTCTGTTCACTCTGACGCTCTGTTCACTCTGACGCTCCGTTCACTCTGTTCACTCTGACGCTCCGTTCACACTCCGTTCACTCTGACGCTCTTCACTCCGTTCACTCTGACGCTCTGTTCACTCCGTTCACTCTGACGCTCTGTTCACTCCGTTCACTCTGACGCTCCGTTCAACTCCGTTCACTCTGATGCTCCGTTCACTCTGACGCTCTGTTCACTCCGTTCACTCTGACGCTCCGTTCACTCTGACACTCTCCGTTCACTCTGACGCTTCACTCCGTTCACTCCGTTCACTCTGACACTCCGTTCAATCCGTTCACTCCTGACGCTCCGTTCACTCTGACGCTCTGTTCACTCCGTTCACTCTGACACTCCGTTCACTCTGTTCACACTCCGTTCACTCTGACACTCCGTTCAATCCATTCACTCTGTTCACTCTGACGCTCCGTTCACTCCGTTCACTCTGACGCTCGTTCACTCCGTTCACTCTGACGCTCCGTTCACTCTGACGCTCCGTTCACTCTGACGCTCTGTTCACTCTGACGCTCCGTTCACTCTGTTCACTCTGACTCTCCGTTCACTCCGTTCACTCTGACGCTCCGTTCACTCTGACACTCTGGCGCTCCATTCACTCCGTTCACTCTGATGCTCTGTTCACTCTGACACTCCGTTCACTCCGTTCACTCTGTTCACTCTGACGCTCCATTCACTCCGTTCACTCTGACGCTCCGTTCACTCCGTTCACTCTGATGCTCCGTTCACTCTGTTCACTCTGACTCTCCGTTCACTCTGACACTCTGTTCACTCTGACGCTCCGTTCACTCTGACACTCCGTTCACTCTGTTCACTCTGACGCTCCGTTCACTCCGTTCACTCTGACGCTCCGTTCACTCTGACACTCTGGCGCTCCATTCACTCCGTTCACTCTGACGCTCTGTTCACTCTGACGCTCCGTTCACTCTGTTCACTCTGACGCTCCGTTCACTCTGTTCACTCTGACGCTCCGTTCACTCTGTTCACTCTGACGCTCCGTTCACTCCTGTTCACTCTGACGCTCCGTTCACTCTGTTCACTCTGACGCTCCGTTCACTCCGTTCACTCTGTTCACTCTGACTCTCCGTTCACTCCGTTCACTCTGACGCTCCGTTCACTCCATTCAATCCGTTCACTCCGTTCACTCTGACGCTCTGTTCACTCTGACGCTCCGTTCACTCTGTTCACTCTGACTCTCCGTTCACTCCGTTCACTCTGACGCTCCGTTCACTCTGACACTCCGTTCAATCCGTTCACTCTGTTCACTCTGACGCTCCGTTCACTCTGACACTCTGTTCACTCTGTTCCTTTGTTCTCTCCGATGCTCTGTTCACTCCGTTCACTCCATTCACTCCGTTCACTCCTTTCACTCTGACAGAGGCTGAGAGAGATTTTCATATTCACAATTATTCACAGTTTTTCAGTTAACGGGGACGACGCACAGTTTCCACAAGATGAGACCAAATTGAGTCCATGAGAATGAGAAAAAATAACTTCATTTATTCAGTATTTCAGGACTTGTGTGATTCAGTTTTGGCCTCACGACGTTTGATTTAATGTAATTACGTGTTTTTATTCTAGTGCTGCTTTTTAAACTCACCGACACACGACGCTGTTTGTCCAAATGTAAACACGAAAACATCACACAAGATCATTTTTGTCTCGTGACTTTTTTATCTCACGAGATCTTGTATCATGAAATCTTGTCTCATCTTTGTTCACCAACTCGCTCTGCACAAAAACAGAAACAGAAACAGTTTTTTAAAGTTCTTCTGTCGGTTCTGTCCTTCTTAATTCATTTTTCTCAAATGTTTAGAAACAGAATGGGACGAGAAAACCCTGAGCCGTGAATCAAATCGTGATCTCAGAGCTCGATTTGTTTTTATATTTGTTCAGCTCGACTCTGACGTTGCTGTCGTGTCATTGGGCAACACACTTCCCCTGTGTGGAGGAGGATGATGTAGAATCTCTGACGGCGGCGTGTTTCTGTTAGTCGACTTCATCAACTTTTCTGACCTTTTCAAACCACAAACTCTGCAGATTTAGACTCAAAATAGAAAAATACTCTGCTCCACTTTGTGATGTCATCATGTGGTAATAGAGTCCTGGTTTAGTCCTGGTTTAGTCCTGGTTTAGTCCTGGTTTAGTCCTGGTTTAGTCCTGGTTTAGTCCTGATTTAGTCCTTGTTTACAGCCGATTTAGACCTTGTTTAGACTTGGTGTAGACCTGATTTAAACCTGGTTTAGTGAATTATTTAGACCCAGTATAGTCCTGGTTTAGTCCTGGTTTAGACTTAGTTTTAGACCCGGTTCAGTCCTGGTTTAATACTGCTTTAGTTCTAGTTTAGTCCTGGTTTATTCCTCCTTATTTAGACCCAGTATAGTCCTGATTTAGTCCTGGTTTAGACAAAGATTTGTTCTGGTTTGAATCTTATTTAGAAATGGTTTAGTTTTAGTTTAGTTCCTGGTTCAGATGTGTGTGTTTTTTTGGATTGGTTTAGACCAGTTTTAGTCCTTTTTAAGACCTGGTTTAGATCTGGTCTATACTTACTTTCAGACTTTGTTTAGACTTGGTTTAGACCTGTTTTCAACCTGGTTTAGTACTGCTTTATACCTAGATTAGGCCTAGTTTAGACTTTGTTTAGACCTGATTTAAACCAGGTTTAGTCCTGGTTTACAGCCAATTTAGTCCCTATTTAGACTCAGTTTTGTCCTGGTTTAGACAAAGATTTGTCCTGGTTTGAATCTTGTTTAGAAATAATTTAGTTTTAGTTTAGTTCCTGGTTCAGATGTGTTTTTTTTGTCTTGGTTTAGACCAGGTTTAGTCCTTTTTTAGACCTAGTTTAGACCTGGTTTACAACTGGTTTAGTCCGGGTTTAGCTCCTGGTTTAGATGTGTTTTATTTTGTTTTATTTTAGTCCTGGTTTAGTCCTTGGTTTAGTTTGGACTATGACAGAAAAGTTTCACATTCAGTAACATGGTGATACAGGACGTGCTCCACTGTGTTTTTAAACTCCACACACCTTCACTGGAAACACCACCGTAAAATTATTCTCCACAAAAATACAAACCGACACAAACCCGACCTCCACAGTCACACAAACACAAACACATCAGTGAGTCCGAGCTCAGGAGTCAAACCCACAACCTCCCGGTGAGCGGTCGGTCGGGTTACGGGCGCCTCGTGAGCGCGGTACGTGGTGACATCATCAGGTGGCGTCTGATCTGTGTCACCTGAGTTTGTTCTGGTGTTTCCAGGTAGAACAGGTGAAGGTGAAGCCACGTAAACAAACCTGTTCTTCTGTTCTTCTGTTCTTCTGTTCTCCGGGAAACGACAACGAAACACACGACTGTAATTAAAACATCGCTCAGTCATTACACAAACGCACACAAACACACAAACACACACACACACACACACAACACACACACACACACACACACACACACAGACAAAACAAGAACATAAAAATAGTCCCTGTTCTCTTTAAGGATGTAACAATAAACAAAAAGTCTCAAGTTGTTTGTTTGTTGAAGTTCATATTTCTGCTGCAGGAGCTGAAACCACAGAAAACTACAGAGACCATGATCCTTTGCGGCGCTTCAGTTCAATCTGCAGGAAGAAAAAACTCTTATGAAACTTTTAAAACGGATTTATTTGGATTATGATGAGAAAAGAGTCAAATATTTACTGTTTCGTAAGAATCCACAAAATACTGCAAGACCTGGTTCAGACCTGGTTCAGACCTGGTTTAGGATTAATTTAAGACTAAACTACATCTAGTTTAGTCTTTCTTTATAGGTGGTTTAGTCCTGGTTTAGTCCTGGTTTAGTCCTGGTTAGTCCTGGTTTTCCTGGTTTAATCCTGGTTTATTCCTGGTTTAGTCCTGGTTTAGTCCTGGTTTAATCCTGGTTTAATCCTGGTTTAGTCCTGGTTTAGACCTGGTTCAGACCTGGTTCAGACCTGGTTTAGACCTGGTTTAGACCTGGTTTAGACCTGGTTTAGACCTGGTTTAGACCTGTTGTGTACAAACTGTAGCTCTTTAATATAAATCTACTTAAACTTCTAAACTGAAACTGAAGTCCACCTCATGAAGAAGAGGAGAGATTTTCACTCGGTTAAAGAGACACTAAACACCAAAAATACTTTTTTCTCCTGATTCTCAGTGTAAATGTGTCTAAAACAGAAGTGTGTCTCTCCTTACCAGACTTACTTTGTTATTTTATTTGTTCAAAATCAGACTTTTGGGCCAAATCCATGTCTGTAGATGTTAGTGATGGACATATGATTAAATTTACTTAATCGATCATTGGGTGAATTAACAATCGATTTTCTATTAATCATTAATGTTTTATTATATTAAAATGATCATCATTATTATTATTATGACTAATCTGCACAAATAAACTCAACTTTACAACATGTGAACAGAACGAGTCCAGATCCACATCAGCTGTTTGACCTGATCATGTGTTTAATGAAACTTTGACACTTTTGTTTTTACACAAACTAAACTAAAAACCACACGACTCATTTACATAAACTATAAACTCTGCTCTTTATTTAACATTTCACCCACTTTATTTATGTTGGTCACTTTATTTATTTAGCTTCTGTTGTGATGAAAAGAGTGAAAAGTGTTAGTCGGGATTAGGGACGAGCATTCGATGAAATTTTCTTAATCGTCGGAAGAATTAATGATTGATTATCGATTAATCATGAACGTTTTTATATTAAAATGATCATCATTATTATTACTATCTGCACTAATCTGCATCAATAAATTCAACTTTACGACATATAAACATAACGACTCTAGAGCCACATCAGCTGTTTGACATTATAATGTGTTTAATTCAGTTTTGTTCAAATCTCACAGAAACAAAACTTAAAACCACATCACTAATTTACATAAACTAAGTGAAGATAAAACTCCAGCTCTTGTGTCGCTGATGTGGTTCAACTTGTGTTGGATTAAAAGACATGACTCAGGTGAATACAGGTCAGTGTGACCAGATTTGTGTTTGTCAAAACCAGGACAGCGTACGGGGGGAGGGGGGCGGGGCCTCGTCATCCACATTGAGCGACTCTCACCTGGAAAAACTTTTTCCCACTGGACACAGAAACATATGTGCTGCTTTATCCACTGTGCACATGGACTCACACTTGTCCCAACGCAACGGAAAGTGTGGAATTTCTTCTACAAATCCTGGTTAAATCCACATTTGTGCTTCGGTTCGTTACAGACTGACCCACTGTTTGTGTCTCGCTCCTTCTGATGCAGAGACACATGTACACACCTGTTTGGTCACGACACACACACATACATTCAGTTTGTCGATTAAAATTAACGTAATCGATGAAATTCTTAATGATCAGTAATCGATTAATCATGCCCATCCCTAGTCGGGATACAGCGTTTACATGCACCAGGACCAAACCGGGACAGTCCAAAACCCGCTCACACTGATGTGCCGTAAACCCGCTCACACTGATGTGCCGTAAACCCGCTCACACTGATGTGCCGTAAACCCGCTCACACTGATGTGCCGTAAACCCGCTCACACTGATGTGCCGTAAACCGCTCACACTGATGTGCCGTAAACCCGCTCACACTGATGTGCCGTAAACCCGCTCACACTGATGTGCCGTAAACCCGCTCACACTGATGTGCCGTAAACCCGCTCACACTGATGTGCCGTAAACCTGCTCACACTGATGTGCTGTAAACCCGCTCACACTGATGTGCCGTAAACCCGCTCACACTGATGTGCCGTAAACCCGCTCACACTGATGTGCCGTAAACCCGCTCACACTGATGTGCCGTAAACCCGCTCACACTGATGTGCCGTAAACCGCTCACACTGATGTGCCGTAAACCTGCTCACACTGATGTGCCGTAAACCCGCTCACACTGATGTGCTGTAAACCCGCTCACACTGATGTGCCGTAAACCCGCTCACACTGATGTGCCGTAAACCCGCTCACACTGATGTGCTGTAAACCCGCTCACACTGATGTGCCGTAAACCCGCTCACACTGATGTGCCGTAAACCCGCTCACACTGATGTGCCGTAAACCCGCTCACACTGATGTGCCGTAAACCCGCTCACACTGATGTGCCGTAAACCCGCTCACACTGATGTGCCGTAAACCCGCTCACACTGATGTGCCGTAAACCCGCTCACACTGGGAGTTCATTGAAATTCTCTGAAACGTCCAGTGAAAAAGGACGTGTCTCTTTACTGTGAGCTGTGTCCTGTTGTTGTGTAGAACCTGACTCCTCTTCTGCAGCTCGTCTTCTCCACTGTGGTGTTAGATAATAATAATTCAGATTCATTTCCTCTTTGTTCTGGTGGTTTCAGGGATTTAGGCAAAGTGTGTCCTGATATTTAAAGCAAATGAGATGTAAATCCACTCGAACCCGTCACAAGTTTAACGTGATGATTTGCCTGACTTTGGTTTTATGGTCACGTTCTTTTGGACTGGTTTTCTTCTGCAGATGTTTTCTCCAGCTCGGCTTTGTGCTTCCGTCTTGAATGTGACGACACACGTGACGTTTTCTCCTGGATTCTCTCCGCTGCTCGTTTCTCTCGTTTCTCTCGTTCTTGTCGTTTCTCACTGAGCGTCTTGTGTGTTTTTCAGGCGAGGAACATCCAGACGGGGGAACTGGCCGCCGTGAAGATCATCAAACTGGAGCCAGGTACCAGCTGTTTCCCTCATCACACACACGCACACACACACACGCACGCACACACACACACACACACGCACACGAGTGGAAACTGTGTGAGGCTCAGGAGTGAACTGAGCACGTGCAGAAAGAGAGGGAGAGTGAAGAGAGAACGCACAACACACGATACACAACACACGATACACAACACACGATACACAACACACGATACACAACACACGATACACAACACACGATACAACACACAACACACGAGGCTCACCAATGAACTGAGCACGAGGGAACGCACAACACATGATACACAACACACACAACACATGAGGCTCAGGAACCAACTGCTCACGTGCAGAGAGAGAAAGAGAGTGAAGAGAGAACACACAATACAAAACACACGATACACAACAGACGCACCACATGATACACGATACAACACACAATACAAAACACACGATACACAACAGACGCAACACATGATACACGATACAACACACAATACAAAACACACGAGGCTCAGGGCTGAACTGAGCGTGTGCAGACAGAGGGAGAGTGAAGAGAGAACGCACAACACATGATACACAACACACTGAATGCAATACATGATACAACACACAATACACAACACATGACACACTGGGTTCTACAGGAGGGTCTCAGTTGCCACATTTACTGAGAGATTTAATTCTGAATAAAACTGAATTCTGCTTTAAAAAGTCCATGTAAACACTTTTATTTTGGATTATTCAGAGTTAAACTTAACAGTGAAGTGAGTGTTTGTTTTATTGTGATTTTAAATCTGAATGAATTTGTTTGTTCTTGTTAAAAATAATGTGGGTGTTTCGGCGCTTGATCGTTGAGAAGATTTGAATTCAGAAATATTTAACTCAGAATAAAAATAAAATAAAATTGTCATGTGAACGTTGAAACTGTGACCAAATAAACCCATGAACATAAACATGTGTAAATGTGTCTGCTCCTCTGACCCACTGACACACACACGGGATTATGGGGGATTAAAGAGGGGCTTAGTCTGTGGACCGGACACACACACACACACAGAGCAGGAGTGTGTGTGTGTGTGTGTGTGTCTTGTCCAGACAGTGAGAGTAAACGAGGTGTTTGATCCACATAAAACTGGACTCACATTACATCATGTCACACACTCTCACTCTGTGTGTGTGTGTGTGTGACGACAAAAGACAGTGTTGTGTACAGGGGTGTGCAAAAATATCAAAATATCGATATATCGTATCGTTTAATGTGCTGATACAGTATTGATATCGTGAACTGCTGGTGTTACATCTCAATAAAACCAGGATGTTAAAGGTTTAACTAAAAACTGCATTTATTATTTACAGTGTAAGTGACGACCAAAAAAACAGGCAATTGAGGTGAAAATAAATAGGAATTAAACAAAATAATCTTATAAACTAAAGAGCCCGAACTAAGTACAAGGTAACGAATCTAACTCAAGTTGTACTGCGAACAAAAAGGAGTCTCAAAGAACTAAACGAGGCAACAGCAATAGAACAAAATGAACAAAATGAGACGACCCAAAACATCAAACAAAAGGGGCGAGCTGGCCTCAGTGATCCAGCTGCACCGAGCAGGCGGAAGACAGGCCCATTTAAACCCCCACTACCACGGGTGGGAGTGGAGGGATGAACGGCCTCCATCCCGCGTCTGGTTCTCCCGCACATCCGGGTCTAGAACATCACACACACAAAAGCAAATACAGAAGAACGAGAACACTAAACAAATATCAAAGGGCCAGGGTCCGTAACACTGGATTGATTTATATCTCCATGAGTATTTTCTGGTATATTTTACTAAACAGTTTTGTTGTTTTGTTTGTTTGTTCAGAGGAAGGAAACTCATTTATGCGACACATTTGACATTTTCACAGTTTTGACGATTAAAATGTTTGTGTTTCATGTGAACTTTGTACAAGAAGTGGTTTTAACAAAGACTTTTAGTGTTTCAGTGATTTAGACTTTACTTTTAATTGAACTGCATCAAATCCAGTTGAAATATATCTTATTTAATCGAAAGTGCCCTGTATCGAGGTGTGTATCGTATCGGCAACTTTTTAATGACACCCAGCCCTTGTTGTGTGTGTGTGTGTGTGTGTGTGTGTGTGTGGTTTGTTTATTAGTAGGGAGTATTCAGTGACATTTATGGTGTTTTGAGCCATAGTTTCATATTTGTGTTTCATTTCGTGGTCCTGCCCTGACCACAAACCCACATCCTCCTCATGTCCCTCCCACACACCAACCGACTCTCTGCTCCAGAACATCTGAGCTCTGACTCTCTCCTCCACAACATCTGAGCTCTGACTCTCTCCTCCAGAACATCTGAGCTCTGACTCTCTCCTCCAACATCTGAGCTCTGACTCTCTCCTCCTGAAACATCTGAGCTCTGACTCTCTCTCCACAACATCTGACTCTGACTCTCTCCTCCTGAACATCTGAGCTCTGACTCTCTCCTCCAGAACATCTGAGCTCTGACTCTCTCCTCCAGAACATCTGAGCTCTGACTCTCTCCTCCAGAACATCTGATCTGACTCTCTCTCTGACTCTGACTCTCTCCTGAACATCTGAGCTCTGACTCTCTCCTCCAACATCTGAGCTCTGACTCTCTCTCCTCCTGAACATCTGAGCTCTGACTCTCTCCTCCTGAACATCTGAGCTCTGACTCTCTCCTCCAGAACATCTGAGCTCTGACTCTCTCCTCCACAACATCTGAGCTCTGACTCTCTCCTCCTGAACATCTGAGCTCTGACTCTCCTCCAGAACATCTGAGCTCTGACTCTCTCCTCCAACATCTGAGCTCTGACTCTCTCCTCCTGAACATCTGAGCTCTGACTCTCTCCTCCTGAACATCTGAGCTCTGACTCTCTCCTCCTGAACATCTGAGCTCTGACTCTCTCCTCCTGAACATCTGAGCTCTGACTCTCTCCTCCTGAACATCTGAGCTCTGACTCTCTCCTCCAGAACATCTGAGCTCTGACTCTCTCCTCCACAACATCTGAGCTCTGACTCTCTCCTCCAACATCTGAGCTCTGACTCTCTCCTCCTGAACATCTGAGCTCTGACTCTCTCCTCCAGAACATCTGAGCTCTGACTCTCTCCTCCTGAACTCTGAGCTCTGACTCTCTCCTCCAGAACATCTGAGCTCTGACTCTCTCCTCCAGAACATCTGAGCTCTGACTCTCTCCTCCAGAACATCTGAGCTCTGACTCTCTCCTCCAGAACATCTGAGCTCTGACTCTCTCCTCCTGAACATCTGAGCTCTGACTCTCTCCTCCTGAACATCTGAGCTCTGACTCTCTCCTCCTGAACATCTGAGCTCTGACTCTCTCCTCCAGAACATCTGAGCTCTGACTCTCTCCTCCTGAACATCTGAGCTCTGACTCTCTCCTCCTGAACATCTGAGCTCTGACTCTCTCCTCCTGAACATCTGAGCTCTGACTCTCTCCTCCAGAACATCTGAGCTCTGACTCTCTCCTCCAGAACGTCTATGTCTGTCGTCGTTGTCGTCGTTGTCGTCGTTGTCGTCGTTGTCGTCGTTGTCGTCGTTGTCGTCGTTGTCGTCGTTGTTGTTGTTGTTTGGACTCTGACTCCAGTTCACACGAGGATCTGCAGCAGTGTTTCACGTAGGCAAAGCTGTGCGTCCGCGTTAAGTTTCAGTTCACACCAGAGTCAGAGACGCTCCTGCTGCAGCTGCACATCTTCTCACTGTTTTCAGACATCACATTTTGTACTTGCTTTTTATCATTTATTTTGTGTTCAAGTGTATTAAGTTAGAATGTTTATTAAGTGTATCGTGAATTAAGTACAACTGCAACACGTTTGTGTTTAATGAGGTTTAAATCTATTATCACGCACATTAAACACCTCACATTTGTTTTCTTAATAAGGTAAAATCACGTATAATTAACAAACAAAATCTTATGTCCGTCCAGGTAATAAGGCCCCATACGTTTATATGTTCATACAGACTCCAGCACCGATGGACACGGGCAAATAGTCGCTGAAACGGGCGAGTTTTAACGTTCTGGAATTTTATGGGTGGGTCAGGACTAAACCAGGACTACATCAGGACTAAACCAGGTCTAAACTAGGACTAAACCAGGACTAAACCAGGACTAAACCAGGACTAAACCAGGACTAAACTAGGTCTAAACTAGGACTAAACTAGGTCTAAACTAGGTCTAAACTAGGTCAAAACCAGGACTAAACCAGGACTAAACCAGGACTAAACCAGGACTAAACCAGGACTAAACCAGGACTAAATCAGGTCTAAATCAGGTCTAAATCAGGTCTAAATCAGGTCTAAATCAGGTCTAATCTTGGAGAGCGAGAGAAAAAGTGAACCCTGAGCCCCGCGGAACAGTGTGTCTGAAAAGCAGAACGGCTGCACGTACGTCCTCGTCTCCGAGCTCTGCACCGGTCCTTTCGCCCACGGTCACTCGGGTCGACACGGAAGGACCTCTGAGCACATTCAGACAGTGAGTCCTGGTTCTGGTTTAGTCCTGGTTTAGTCCTGAGTCCTGGTAGAATCGGTGTCTGACATCATAAATCACGTTATATTTCTCCACTTCAAGGATTAACTTTGTGTCGTCCATCATGAACCTTTCCTTGGACACAGCTCGATGTTTACATCGTCTTGACTTTGGTCAAGTTATTTTGAAAGGGCATCGGAAGTTTATTTTGACACCGTGTGTTTATTTCTTGTCTTTCCCCTGCTGAAAACCTTGGAGACGCTCGTTGGACGTGCGTATGACACTGCTGCTGTGGACTGTCAGACCGGTTCAAATGGAAGTTGTAAAGCTGCGTCTGCTGCTCGTGTGCGGAGCTGCTGCTCTTATGCTCTGTTGTGCTTTGGTGTGAATTGGTGGTGACGGTGCAGATCTTCAGCCTCTCTTCTGTCAGTCTGCCCCAGGGCAACTGTGACTATAGTCCAGTGTTATTTATTCACTTCATGAGAGTTATTTATAAGTATTAATTGTA